GACAACAAACTCCACCCAGTATGACAACGGTACGACTACCACAGTCAGCTCTCTGTTTGGTGTACCTACGAGAGAGATTAATGGTCACCAGGTCCAGTGTGTCATCAGCGGTGACTCCCTGTCTAAAGAAAAAAGTCTGCCCTTCACCATACAGGTCTACTGTGAGTATCAGCTGCGGATGTAGTTTATTATTTGTCTTTTGTTGTGTCACTGTTGATTTTAGAATTTTAATTGTTTAATGTAGCATGTCTGCCACTATGAACCCCCCCCCCACACACACACACACACACATACACCTTGTACACGCCGTTTCTTTATCACAGTATTTTAATTTACATTTTCTACACTGTTATTTGCTTTACAGCACTGTCCCCCAACTCTGTCTATGCTGTCCTCTCCCTGTCCGCTCAGCATTTTCTCCCAATGCACCATTTTGCTGCTGTGTAGAAACAGGGGAGGTATGATTAGATATTGGCTGTCAACTGTTCCATCCTGCCTCCTCTGGCACTGCAGCTATGTCCAATCTTACTTTTTTTTCTTTCTTCATATGCGATTGTGACATTTCCCCTGCTCTCATGACTTTGTCTCCTGGTTGTGGCAGTCAATATTATGTCACAACAGATTAAGAAAGAATTTCTGAAAGATAAGTAGAACAAAAGTCAAGACAAAATGAGGATATCTAGGTTGATACAAAGGCTATTGTTACGTCATTAGTGTTAAAGACTAAATAATACTTAATGTGGGTGTTTTGTTTTTTGGACTGTCAGATGAAAGACAAAATACCAAGTACCAAAATAATTGATCTTTACTGAGGTCAATATACCTCAATTTGGAGTTTTTGGCTACCTTGAGTGAGCTTAGTTTACCTGAACTGAGGCATCGAAAAAAGTCCAAACTTAACACTCATTTTGTCAGAGACATGCTGACTGTCAGTAGCTACAGTTAATGGACTGAGCTGTGCCAGAAATCCAAGGTAATGCCGGTGATGACATAGAGGAATGCTCTCTCAGCAGACCTTCATCCCTCAATACCAATCCATGACCATTTCAGTGACACAGCACTGTCCTGCAGTGTTACCAACCTTCAGTTTTTTTAGTTGAAGGGGTTTGTAATTGAGTCAGTGACATATTTATATCACTATGAAGGGATCACTCCTTGATCTAAATGACAAGTAACCAAGATTTATGGATTTGCGTGCCATAATAGGATTCAAACATATGTGAAATCATTAATATTTCCTTAGTTCAGGATTAACACACTTTTCTCTATATCTTCTGCAGTCTCACCCACAGAAGTGAACATTAGAGTGATTTCAGAGGACTCGTTTGAGTGTGTGACAGAAGCCAACCCAAATGCAATATTTAACTGGAGCAGGTAAAGTCATTTGAATAATTACTGTGTGTGTGTGTGTGTGTGTGTGTGTGTGTGTGTGTGTGTGTGTGTGTGTGTGTGTGTGTGTGTGTGTGTGTGTGGTGAGTGGCAGGTCAGGCAGGACCCAAACACAAAGGGATGAAGTGGAAGAGGCAGCTCAAAACTAAACGGTACAGGCCAGGAGGAAACCAGGACTCTAGGAACTAGAAAACAGAGCAGAAACACAGCAAATGG